ACTTAAACACCATTAACAGTATTGAGGAAATATGACCATTTCAGTGTGATCAGGAAAAGTAAAGAAAAAACATTTCCAGAAAGAAAAAACAAATATTTGTGTTCCTGCGATTTCCTTTGATATCTTTATTGGAACATTTTTATCACTGCTGGATAGATTGCCCGATGACAGCTACCGAACAAACATGTTGGCTTAAATTAACGATCGTTAGCTTTCCTTTTTTAAATAGTAACACACCAGTCTCTGTTGGTTATGGAGTTTAAATATTACTGTTTATTCGTTGCTGCAGAACATACTCTTAGTATCAGGATTTTCTGACGAGTTGGTTGTGTTTTATTGGTCAATAATTAACTGCTGTACCTGTCCAGCATCATATCTATTTTTACAACGGCCACGTGATCAATGTTATTTTGCATATTTCAGAAGAAATGACTTTAAACCCAAAGACGTCTTATACCTCTGTTAGTAAAGAACATACCTGTATCAATCATTTATTTCAAAAGAATTTTAAGGATAGGAAGGCCAAAGGTGAATGATGTTTAATCAATTGAAATATTTTGTAAATACATAAAATGTGATTTTTGTACTTTGAAGTTTTCTAGGACAATACGAAATCCTGTAATTCTTTATATATTATAACGTCTTCCGCATATCAAGTTGTGAACATCTATTTATATTTTTGCAATAATAATAATAATTCGAGGTTCTTATATACCGCTTTATTACAACCTAGTTCGTAGGTCGTCTCAAAGTGGTTCACAAATTATTATTTGTGGTTATAGGGCCTTTGCAACCAGCCAATGTCTTTCTCAACTCCCTGGGGAGCATACAGCCGGTGCAGCCATTTCGGCGATCACAACTGGCATTAGTCAATTCTAGCACTGCCCAACCACGTACTCATTTACAGCTGAGTAGACTGGAACACAGTGCCGTGACGAGAGTCGAACTCGCAACCCATCGGTCACGAGCCCGGCGCCATTCCTCCTGCCTTTTCATCAATGCAATTCGTTTTCGCTTAAAATTTCGACGTTGTCTGCTTTGCATGAAATGCCATACACCGTGTTAACTATCTGAAGATGTCCCTGAACCCCTGGTGTTTTCTTTGCTTGGATTTCCCGATAGCAATTTTTACAGGCAGAACTGCAGGTATATGCAGGTGATTTTTCTGTCTAAATACACTAACCTCAAGCTAAGCAACTAATTTCAAATGTAGTTTTCCTAATATGTAAACATCGCGAGTTCAACGTATTCTAACTTTATAAGAAGTCTACATATCGAAACCAAATTTAAATAATATGCTGTCCTATAACCTGTGTGAAGTGATGTTTTGCCATAAAGTCTTGTCCACAGTGTGTATTACCTTTGTCGTGGGACAGGGGCTCAGAGGCCATCATCAACTTGAAGTATACACTTGTTTAAAACCCATAGTCAATCGATTTGATATACCTCCTTAAATCATTGAATTTTACATATTGCCGACTTTTCCCGGCATGGATTCAGTCTGATTTGACAAAGTCCATATGAAGCTTTAAACAACGTTGGAAATTATTAATAGATATTTTGCCCCTCAAGGCATTCACTATATTTATCAACAATTACTTGAATTCCTCTGCTGAATACAATATGCATTCGCCCATCAAAAATGACAAACCGCCCAAACAAAAATGAAATTAAAGATACAGCGAAATAACCTTCAGTATCAAAATTGTCAATCTTACGTACTAGAAATAACACAGAACAGCAGCACGAGCCAACCAAGATGGATGGGTAATTCACCAAACAGAATATGTTCATCCGTGTAATTTCTATTCTCCGTCTGTAAAGATCCCAGATGAGATATTACCACTAGACAATCTAAAGTCAGACCAGCAAGACGCGTAAAAAGTGACTTCAAGTTGAAGGATCACATTCAGACAGATAACACACACGATGTGAATCAGTATTTTCTGGCATCATACAATCTTGTAGTGATATATTAGTGTATGCAATTGTTCCGCCTTATCAACAGGACATGGCCTCTCTAAGAATATGTACTTAGACGCCGATTTCTCCTGTGAATTCATTTTTTGTTTATCAGTGCTCAATATCTGAATCCTGGCGCACCTTCTGTATATTTACATTTTGTTATATTGGAGAGGATTTATTTAATACACTTTTTAATGTGACATAATTGGTATCGATACCCTGGCTTAAGATTTGTTTTTTAAATGAGATAGAGTTTGGTGGTCTTGTTACATGTACCATATACTGGTAGTGATAAAACAACGTTCTACGAATGGCCCATCTCACCCATACTGTGTGTGGTAAGGTGAATGCATATATGTGTGTTTTGGAATAAACGTGATGGTACTTGTATCATAGTGAGTTTTTTTTTTACGGGAGGCGATGGTATTTCTGATCAAATTTTGGCACTGGCTTGGTTGCGCTTTTTTTCTCTTTTTTCTAAGCTTTGACTTACTGGAAAGATTTGGTGTGTTGTTGATTTCGTATTTATAATAATAATTATAATAATTCGAGGTTCTTATATACTGCTTTATCACAACGCAGTTCGTAGGTCGTCTCAAAGCGGTTCACAAATTATTATCCGTGGTTATATGGCCTTTGCAACCAGCCAATATCTTTCTCAACTCCTTGGGATGCATACAGCCGGTGCTGCCATTTCGGCGCAAACAGCTAGCATTCAACAATTCTAGCACTGCCCAACCACGTACTTATTTACAGCTGAGTAGACTGGAACAAGCTGAGTAAAATATCGTGCTCAAAGATACAACACAATGCCGTGCCGTGACTCGAACCCACAAGCCTTCAGTCACGAGCCCGGCGTCCTACCACTAGACTACCATGCCTCCTAATTGTTTACTATATCATCTTACTCGATATCGTACATAGTATAGCAATAATTCGAACTTAAAATACCAAAAAAGGAAAGATCGACTTGAGGGCTTTTGAAAAAGAAATAAGGAAAAAAAGACCAGATTTTCCAGAAGAGTAAACGTCTACTGCTTCATTGACGATACACTTCATGTAAATCAAAGTTAAATCTAGGAAATTGTCACATTCTCAAATTGAAAATTCGGGAAGTGAAAATGAAACAACAAGTCACACTTATGAGCGTAGTTTAAAATCGTAACCTTCATATTGCACGAGGACATATTTTATTTCCTAAAGAATTAATAATGGCGACATATAAAATTTGCTCGTAGTCTCCAAAATATCACATCACGCATAAAAGGTAAATGCAATCTATTGAAAGGGGCAAATATAGATAAAAATGCAATGGGCTACATGTATGTATGGAATTTATGAACAAAGGGTATACTGGCCACGTGGTGTTTATGACCTGGAATACATGTTTTCGGTATCATTGTTTTTTGTTTATTGAAAAAGAACCTTTTTTATCAGTAAATTTGTTCTATCCAGACTTTTATCTGTTATGAAAAATTGCACAAGGTGGACACAATTGCACGTGAATTATGTGCCTTTTCACAGATGTCAAGATCGTGCACGTACATTGTAAATCTTTTGATAGCAAATGTAGAATTGCTGTTCTGTCACACATATCATTTGATACCTCGATTTTTCTGTTTTCACAAATGTACCTCAGACCCGTACACCATACTGATAGAACTGACACTGAACACATCAATTGATCTTTTGTTCCTAACTTTATCTCTGACCCGTATACCGTACCAATACAATGGTTATATTGAATAGCCGCGAATGCAGGCGAGACAGCAGACCAATAATGTTATTTCTAACCGAGCAAACCCTGCCCGAACGAGATACACCAAAGACAAGACTATCAGACAAAAACGTCAACATGTAGGAGAAAAAACCCACTCTTAACAGGACCTACATTCTAATGAAGCGAACATTTCCGCAGTGTAATTGGAGTAAACTGTGGCCATTGCATAACGAATGGGTCAAATCACATCACTGACTGAGATACTTTTCATTCTTACCTCTGTATAATGTGATAAACCGGTTTTCCTACAGTTGGAGATACATACTTGTAGCTGTGTGTCGCTTATCGTTTGTAGATATTGTTATTTAATAGCCGAGGGGAGCTATTAACGTAATGGGTAACGTTTAAGATGATTATGGCCGTCTGAATCAATTTCCCAAAGCAAGCGATTTTTTTGTGTTGCATCCTTTATACTTTTTAAAGATCGTTATTCACTATTGTTTTTTTTATTGTTTTTTTCAGCAATAATATCATGAAAATATTTCATCAAAGATGTGTAATGAAATACATCATACCCATACATTTATCAATTGGGAGAGACAATTGGTTTTGCACTGTTGACAAAGTAACATCCAAAGGAATATATAATAAATTGCCGATGCGTATTGCTGTATTATTCAGTCTTCAACTTACAGCGTGCACTTTTGGTCATTGTGTACTACGCTGATGTAAGCACAAACGCATTTTCGTTCACTCCAGTAAATACTAAGACAGCGTATTCATCAGAACCTTTTTTATATCAATCGTTAAATCTGTTTTTCTGTTATCAAAACATAATATGAAGAATTTTCTCTTTCGTAATGTAGAAGAAAATTACAATTTTGGTCAGTTATGCAAACATTTATATATTTTTGACGACACAATTGGAAGATGTCAAAACGATTTATTTATCAAAAAAATACCTAGCATGTAAATTTGTAATGTTTGGCCAACGAGCGCACGGACTTAAGTTTTCTTTGCATTTTTTTTTCTCGTATTCTCTTTTCTAAAATAAAGTCTAGATCAAAAAAGTATATTTTGTTAGACTTTTCACGAGAACAGACTATTAAGATAAACATGAATGCATGAAAACTGTAATTGAATGCACCGAGTTGTCAAAAATCCGGTAAGTCAATGGTAAGTTTAAACCTGGTACGTGAACGGCCAATTGAACAATGAAATGAGGACATCTTACATGGTGTACTGTAATAACCATTCCTGAGGCATTTCTCAAAAATATTAAATTTGTTTAAACAAAGTTAAGAATATGAATTACCTGTTGTGGTTAAGAAGTGGATTTCTTGGAAATGAACCCAAGTGACGTTTTGTACGAGGACATCCAGCCAAGCTGTGTACATGGTTGAAGGGTCAAGGTCAGTGATGTAAACTTTTGTTCTTGATTTATTGACTGGAATCTGCGTGACTTGTGTCTCCTTGTCTAACTGTTTCCAGCAGACGACAATGCTGGTGATATCTTCATCATATAGAGACAAGGACAAGTTAAGGACCACAGAACGCTCCAGGACCTCGTAGATTTGGAACAGACGACTGGAAGATTCGCTCAGGTTCACTGAAATGGTTAAACCGGACAAACAGCATGGTATTCGATCAAGTAATGAAGTTATTCCAGTTTCATCAGGCATAAACCAAATTACTGTAAATGCCAATTGGAGGCAATTAAATAATGATTTTGACATTTTTGACGATCTCAATATAACAGGAAATAAACTTACTTTATCAAACGTTTTTCAACTTAATATTTTTTGATGTTCAATGTCGACTGTCTACACATTTTTGGTTGCATCTTAATATTTTATCAATATAAGAAAGTAAAAACGAAGAAAACTAACAAAAAAAACCTAAAGCTTAATAGAATGAGATATTTGATATTTCAATTTTCAAAGAATCAATATAGTTATTTACCACATTTGAAACCATTCCAGGAAAATCCTTTACAACATGTATAAATGGGTTGTGTTATGTGGACAGCCGCCACAGGGAATGTCATGTTTCCGTCATACAGGGCAGCTGACGTCATAGTTCCAGTACTGTTGTACAACATGGCCACAAGGTCATCTAACGTAATGTTATGATTGGTGATTCTGCAAAATAGAACGTAACATGGATAAAGATTTTGGAGCCAATACCATTGGTTATAGAGCTGATATCATGTAAATATCATGAATGCTAACGTACTTTTCAATACCGGCGTCAGCTTAAGACTAGCAATCCGGAGCACCTGCTGTCTCCCCCAGATTTTGTTGGGTCTGTTGTGTTTGTACATGTAGTACTGCCATTTCCTTTGTCTTGATGTTTCCCCAGTCCCTGTAGATACCTTATAGTGTTGAATTTTATTTTTAGATTTAATATCCTTGCATGTTGACATTATTTCTGATTTATTAATGTTTTTTACAAGTTTATGCGGGTTTCAAAAGCGTGATACTGCCATAACGTGCGTCATTCACGACTCGTGCAGGTTGGATAATGTTATTAGAAAACAACAAAAAGTGATACATCTGCTTCCTATATTTTCACAACACAGGTTGAATTCAGGTCACGTCGCTGAATTTTCCTTGATTATTTAACATCTCAATGAGTTCTCGCGAAACATTTTGATAAGCGATAATAAGTTCCCACGAGTAAACGCGGAAATATATATACATCGTCATTGACGCGGTTAAAAGTATATTCCTTCTGAATTAGTTGTAATGTGCTAGTCGTGTATTTATTCTTTCGTTTAAATGATAAATGTTTGTTTAACACTAGGTACACAACGTGAAATAGTGACTAAGTTCTATTTCATTTTGTCAGATACAAATTTTGTTAAAAAAAAATTACAGGCACGTTACACGTTTTGATGTATTCCTGCATTCGTTTCGGACCATTTTAGACATTAATTTGCACTCATTTGACTTTAGTATCACAGATGAGTTGTAAAATCATCAATTTTAAATATACAATACTTTTTCATGTTTGACGTTCTCTACTTTGTATAACTTCTCCTAAGTTGAATAAGCTAAACTTATGCCCATCTAAAATAATTACTAGAAAGAGGAGAGCTCATAACATGGAACCTTGAAGAACTTTTTCAAATAATAAAAGAGTCCGAACGATAGTTCTGCAATTTGTTGTGGCAAGTATGCCGAAAAATCAGATATCTAAAGAAAAGTGCCACTGTTTTTGACATTTACAGAATAAAATAAACACTAGAAAGAGGTGTGCTCCTTAAAAAGAACCTTTAGGAACTCAAATATTCAACCAGTGCGAACGAACGTTAGGTTTGTTGAAACCGTGATTTATTTAATAAATCATCATGTTTATCGCCAATGCATACTTTTAAAGGGAAAGAAAAACAAGCATTGATATTTTAATTAATTCCTCCCACAAGTTGAGAGCATACTTTAATTAAATGATCCATGCTCTAGGTCTTGGTCGTTTTTTTGTTATATGCAATGAGCCCTACATGCAGTTATAATGTTTAAATTAGTGTTTCTCTTATCAAACACAATAATTACGAATTTAACTTTTGGTATGGGATATGTGATAGGACTTGGCAGTGCTAGTTACTTACCGTACACGGAGTGACGCAGACAACATGAGGTGGATCTTATCCAGACTTTGTTCAGGTCGACACTGAATATAGGTTCTGTCTATAGTACAAGATACCCCGTCAGCTTCGGGGACAAAGCACTCTCTCAGACTGTAGAAGTACATTAATGATGCCCCAGCCTCAGAGAGCAAGGATAAAAGGACCTGATCAGATTCTTCACAGTGACCTTCTAACTGAAGCGTCACGTTTAGCGTCACTGTGTGGACGTTGACTGAATACGAAAGATTTTTGAACAAACAAGTATTGAATGGGACATTCAATTAATATTCTTTAAATCGAAATGAATACAACTATATACACTGAATTAAAAAGTTATCTACATTTTGTATATGAAATCTTCAACACCAATAATGCTCTACCTACTTAATTCAATTAAAATGCTATATTCGTAAAGCAACAAGTCCATGAAAATGAACATTACAAAACATACTTATAAGTTCAGTTGCTACTCAAATATTTATAATATTTTACGACGTCAAATGGAAAACCGTGATTTACACTTGCCAAGAAAATACTTCGATACAATAATTAGGACACAACACCCCTGCAGATCGGGGATCGAAGAATACACCTGCTGTGACCCACTGCGTGTATCAAAGGGGGCTACTAATATGGGACCCCCTTTAAAATTGGGAATTCGCTTTTGTGCCCTCTACGTTGGGACACATTTGCTGCACCCATTGTAATATTTAGGGTATTTGTGTTGCTTTCTACTTCTAACTACCTTTTACGTTCTAGTGCCTTGCTTGGCTATACCTCACTTTTGGCTTTAATGTTGGACATTCGCCCAGGTGAGGAAAGGCAATGGGTGGTGTCCCATGGCCGGGACATACCAAAGTCCTTAACAATGGTGGTTGTTATTCCCTGCATTTAGGGAAATGGCAACAACTGGTTCACCCGTTTTCAGTATAATGTGAGCGGGCGGAATGTTGTGCATGGTTTTTCAGTGAGATAGCCCCGTTCTAAAATGACATTAGCTGTAAAGAGTTAAACAAATTTAAACCAAACCAAACCAATTAGTGAGAAAGCACTATAAAGTCGGCATCTGATCCGCGCTATAACAAGGAGGCAAAAACACCAACATACATGTACGCTTTAGCATCACACATGGAGGCACGTCCTTAAATTACCTTAGCTGTTAAAAATACGTTAAACAAAATCAAACCAAAACTTATTAGGGCACAGTTATCATATTCTTGACATTGCTTTTTGTTTATAATTAAAAATACGTCGGCAGTTTCTAAAAAAAGGAAGAAGAATCAGCCAAGGTGTAGCTAATGCCTTGTTAAGTATACCTACATGGCTGGCATATCCATTGATGACAGCAGAGATAAGGTTGATTGACCAGGCGGCAATCCGCTCCTGACAACACAGGCTCAGGACTGGTCGTACAGAGTGGGTAACAAACGACATCACTTCCGGTACAGTTACAGTAACTCAGACAGTCTGTGTGCCATGTCCTGATACCCCGGTCACTATACTGCGAACACGTCTGGTACTCAGCGGGTCGGAGGATAGCGGTTTCCACTGTATTGTACATATTGCATTTGTAAGATAACATTCGAATTTCTTTAAACGTTTGTTGCACAATGGATTTCATTTAATAATTATTTTTTATTTTTTTTTATTTTCGAGATTAATTCACCTTTTGAAATACGAAAAGTTAAAAGGTTTTGAAATTGCAAACTTACTTCTTATGAAATAAAATTAAAGTGCTAAGTGTCAAGTCCGAAACAAAAATGTTCATAATAAAACAGATTGCATGTTTCTTGCTACAAAACGGAACATTTATGTATTTACTCTACACGTGAAGGCAACGGTTAATGGACCTTATGTGGAGTAGCATCGTCCAGCGTCCAAGCATAGAAATAGCATTGCCCTGGTACACTTTACAAATAATACAGTAAACTACCTCACATGTGCTCTTCTTTTATTAATCCTTATAAGAGTATATAATCAACTGTTAGAATGAAAAAATAATACACTTTAGTCAGAGATGAAAAAAACACAAAACGAAACGGGGAAATCTTATTTTATCAAGTTTTGTGTGACCAGTAAAAAAAATCAGCTCTGGCTTTCTTTTTCAATATAAATGACCGGCAATTAATAGAAAAGCCTAGAAAAAAGTGCAGGTAATTTGAAAAAAAAATGAAAAATAATACCAAAAGCAACACCTACATGTGCATGTATACTTTAGGTAAAAGTCAGAAAGGCTCACGTTTGTTGTCGTTGGTTTGATTGTTTCTTAATTTTATATTCGATAATTTTCTTAACAGTGCTTATTTTAATTAACCCGTTTTTTTCATTTATGATGAGGAAAAGGGAGAAAAAAATATGAAATTGCAGTGAATCACTATTGAATTCGGTTAGAAAAGTAACTTCATGAATCTGAAACTTTATTTCTGCACCATGATGGAGTGATTCTTTTGTATTAAAGAGTACAATGAATGGAATTCGAAAGGGTGTCAATGGTATACACTAAAACGGAGATGTTTGTTTTTGTTTATTTAATGATGATGATAACAAGGTTGGTTATTTCTGTCCCTGCAGGTAGGGCGTAAGAATTGTACCTGCTGCCCCAATTGCATGATCGTAAGAGGCGACAAAATTTGGGATCTTATCTTTTCACTTCTTTCTAAACAATTTTCTTCTTTCTAATGTCTCCCTTGACAATGCCTCACTTTTGGCCTTTAGTTGAGCGTTCGCTCCTGTAAGGAAGGCTTTGTGTTCTGTCCCTTAGCCGAGACATACCAGAGTCTGTAAATGGTAGTTTCTACTAGGAGTAGGACGACTGGTGCGCCCGTCGTCAGTATACTGTGACCGGGTTGGGTATCCTGCTGGGTGTCTTCGGCAGTATGTTTCAATGAGGTAGCACTATAAAGTTGGCATCAGTTCCGCGCTATCACAAGGAGACAAACACGAACATATTGCAGCCTCCTAAAGCACATGCATACACTACACGCATGCATCTTTCACACAAGGGAGGCCGTCCTTAAATGACCAAAGCTGTTGATAGGACGTTAAAAACTAATAAACCAAACCAAACCAAACCTAACCAAAATTTCTCATTATAGATGAATGTTGTCGGAAATAAGATAGGAAAAAAACAATACCAATGAAAGATTTGAATGTATGCATGAAGAATGAAATTTGTGAAATCAACGTGCTCTGTATTCGTTTAACGACACTTGTTCCATTTCATCTCTTGAGATTTCACAGAAATAATGCAATCAATATGCCTGAAATGCATCTCCACGGAGATCAAACCTGACTGGCGTATCTCTCCCTAAAGACAGACACCGACTATTCTTGTAAAGGTTAATTCTCTGTTTTCATTGCCATGTCATTCAGTGCTTTTGTTAGAATGATATAATAGCCCTCGACAGCAATCTTTGATATTTTATTTCTCAGGCTCTTTAAAGAGTTTTATATAAACTGAATTGAAATAAACCGAAGTCTATGAGAAAACGAATATATTTCAAGTGTTTTAGATACAAGTATATCTAAAGAGGTGAATCATTTGTGGGCTCTCACTGATTTCAATGTTTATAGTTGATATGTAATTTCGTGATACGTTTTGTGGACGCTTACATTCCCGAAACTTCTGGTCTCTTTCTTGTTGGACCATGCCAAAGGTTTCCATGTAAATCTGTTTTGTTCATTATTGCCCTTCTTTTAACGTTTTTGAAGTCGAATTATGTTTTTGTCGATTCCTCGGAATTTTCTTTTGTGTTTTCCTTGCTATGTTCTTTTTTTTTAGATTAATGTTAATTAAACCATTTTCGCTGCATACACTTTTTTGTCAAACTGTTATTGAAATAGTGCGTAGCTGAATCGTGTCAGTTCGGTACAGATACAACAACTATTGTTCATACGCTTCACTGATCATTTGTCTGATGAAGGTGACGGTAAAAATATTTTATAATCCATACTTACCAACTTGAAGAAAGTGTTAAGACATGTTATTGAAATCATTTTGCAAATGAATGTCCAATATGATACTCAATTATGCAATCAGTAATTATATGCTACCTAAAACAAGGTTGATCATTAATAACATGTTTTAAATTAAAGCACAATGACAGTTTCATGTGATGCAGTGTATCCTGTAGCGAAATACTCCCAATACCTGGCTTAGTTAGAAGACTTTTCTCGTCACAGACAGTGGTCGGACAACATCCCTTCATTTCCTCGCGGCAGACGAGGTTAGGGGCGGTGGGGAGGAGGAGAGAGGTATCGTTACACACAGGGCGGCACTCCAGTTCCCCGTCCGTCATACAGACACACACGTCCTCGCAGTCTATCTGGAACTCCTGTCCCACTCGGAGCTTCATACTATTGTAATAACAGTACGGCAGAACTGCAGGGTAAAATATACAAATATACCTGTACTTTGCATTATTGTTACACATGAAAACATCAAAAGATATTGAATAAATAACTATGTAAATAAAGGATTACTGTTGTATTATATACATTTTCTTGTATTTAAGAATTATTTTAAAGACAATGATCTGTCTCGTTTGTAATGGATTCCAATGTTTTTTTGTTTTTTTATAAAGAATCTCCATGAACAATGTTTTGATGCTGGTTTAATGCTTGTTGGAAAATTGCACCATTATCTTAACTTATTGTTATTTACCGTCAGAACCATTGATGAGTCAAACATGGACAAAGTTTCAGCATAGTGCATTACAAATGTTCACGTGTTCTGCCCTTTCTATCGACCCGCTATTTTTATAAATAGATGTTTCCTAACTATGTATCTCTCATTGTATACAAATCATTGCCTTAGTTAAATGTCTTATTGTCCCAAAAGGCTAATGTTAATTCGCTGTTTAAGAAGCTTTAAATAGACAAAGAGGAGGTGGTAAACTACTATCGCCAAGTATCAAATCTGCTCTCCTAAGATGATTTTAGATAAAGTTGTGTCAAGCGTTTAGAGTTTTATCGCCTGCTTGCATAATTATAGTCGCTACATTAAAAAAAACATTGAGGTAGTCAAATCCGTAATGCACCTTAGGGTATAATAAATTTGTTCAAACATGGAAAAATAGGTTTATTTCTTGTAAAATTCAATTACTATCATATCAAGAATTGATTTATGAAATGTTAGTGATTCACCTGTTATATCTCTTTTACACAACGGTACTGTCTTTTAGTATCTCCAGCACACTAACTGGATGTCTGCAGATGGCCTTCAGCAAAAGTATAACTACAGAAAGAACAGTACACGTGTTCTGACAGGGAATCTCTGGCATAAATATTAGCCACCTGCAGAGGGTTGAGACCACAAGGACATGCTTATCTGTTACGACTATATTTAAAACTAAACTGTGGTGTTCAGAGTACATTTACATGTTGTAGGGGTTGTAAAAATGCAACCACTACAATGGATATGCAAAAAGTTGCTCTATGACTGGGAAAAAACTTTCAAAGATAGAATTTGCTTGTGATGTCGGAGGAAAATGAGATCATGTCAAAGAAAATATATTTTGCGAAAATTAACTCTGTTTCCTGTGCAGTCTTGCAAATGGTATTCCTTCTACGATCGGATGGAAACCAATGATGTGCATTTGAATTCTAGATCTTTTGTGTACATTGTAATGCCTTGCGAGACATGTGTAATTGATGATCAATTAGAAAAATGCATTGTAAAGTGGATTAGAATAATTCTGTAAATGCTTTAAGGCGCTATTTAAATTTGGTTGTATATTATCTCAAATATTATCTACAATGTATACATTCCTAGTTAAACAGAGGGTCACATTTCTGAACTCGTATCTAGAAAGGCAGTGGGTTGTGTTATCTTTCCATCGATTCATTGTTAATTTACAACCCGCACCATTTAGTCTGCGGCGAGAATTTATTGTATCCTTTTTATGGTCTACTTTAAAACAAACATAGTTTCCTCATCTACTTATGACAAAAGGTTCTCTGTAAGATGATTAGTGCTGTCACTGTTTTAAAGGAACCATCAAAAGAACATGGATTTATACGTTTCTTCCCAGTCAATTCTGCATCTCAGCTGTGTCAGTAATGTTGTTATTATGTAAAATAATACTCAATAAGAAATTGCTATCCCAATTTTCCGGCTTGAAATATTTATGACCGTTGAAATGTGAGATTATCTAGAGGATAGAAAGAAAGACACAATGGAGAGCCATTATTCTACAAACGCATAAAACTGATAATAGTGACTGCCTATTAAAAACACAATACATCCAAATTATTATCGTATACGACTGTGTTTGAATTTTACCCGTTGTGCGATACTTGGCCAAAACAATTTGATATCAATTTGGTATAAGATATATCTGTTTTAAAATTGGAGTAAAACGTTTTCTATGAACTTATTTGAAACTGAATGGCTTGAATTGATCGATATCACACTAGCAATCGCAGACAGATATTCTGGACTTTAAAAGAGAAACAAGATTTGGGAAGACCAAACAACTATACAAACGTCTCTCATATACCAAAACAAGTATCCGTTTTGTCTTCTGGTAGTAGATGCCAAACTAATAAGTGAAGTACGCTATACAATACATATGTATCTATTACTGTATGCGGTTCCTGGAGATCTATGGGATTACGCCCCATTCTGTCACTGGTGATACACGACAAATGACCTTCTGTCGTATTTCAGGTAATGATTACATTGCACTTGTATAGTTACGAGACAAGACGCACCTGTCGTGCTGGTAACGACTGTCTCTGTCAGGTTTGCGATGACGTCCAGCTGTTGCCAGGTAACAACTCTCATGAAATACAGCGTGTTTGGCTGCAGTCCGTACACAGTGGCGAATGACATGTCCCCGTGCTACAAAAGACGATTTTTAGTTGATATTGATGGCTAACGAAACAATTCCATGAACCACAAACGATAAATCTTTTTAGAAACAAGCGTACAAATAACGAACGTTTCAGGGCGTTTAAGTATGACGCATGACTCAAGAGCCTCTGATATTTGCTCGGCCTCGTGTCTTATTATGTTTCACCGTCAGCTAGTAATTAATTTTCCTTCCAGCTAATTGGATCATCTGTGTGTAGGTTTGTAGCACCAACTCAATATGATTCTCGTTTGGCGCCAGTGTTCGTGAGATAATTCGGTACTCACCTCTTCGCGAGTCCATAGTGACGTGTCGTTGGAGAACACGGTGGAGTACAGAATGCTGTACTCAAACCTGTAGCCAGGCGGCTTGAAGTCATCCCAAGAGAGAGATATGCTTGTTATACTGATATTGGTGATTGTCATACCAAAGTGACCTGGAGAAAGAAAAAAAATATAAAGTTCATTCCAAAAACCGTCAATCGAATCTTTACAAAAGTAACTATTTCAGCGCACCCAAATTTAATTAAATGTTAATACTTTATCAAATTTTGATAAATGAGTGCATTTATGAATCAATCTAGAACATATACAAAAGACAACAATATACAAAACTTCAATTATCGCATTCATAATTTAGCGCAATATTTTCAGCACAGGAAGCGCTAAAATACGACTACCACTAAAATATGTATGTTAACAGTATATCTCTGTATGAGCTAAAGGGTAGATTAAACAATTTCTTAATTATTCACGTAACTCTATTTTATAAAGGAACTTGTATGAGATTAGCAAGATTGAAGTCGATGTGAATTGTTCCTGACATTACTCCAATGGAATTTTGGTGTTACGACTAACATGCTGCAATTTTGATAAAATGTTTGTAGATCATAGCCAATTAAACCTTCTACTTTTACTTTGGACAGCAAAGATAGTTTGAAATTATCATGCAAAAAGCCAAAAAAGTAAACCTTTACTGCACAATATGGTTAAGTGTGAAAAAAGATTAACGTAATGAGAATCTGTGTTTTAAGTATTCCAAACAGTTACAGAAAATAGAGTAGAAGGGTAAAGGTTCCTATTAATTCATTCATATCATTACAAAAGTACAAAAGATTTTTAGTCACCCCTGGGGGAACCCCAGCGGGGACTATTAATTTTGGTTTCAGTCCCAGATTTTGACCTCCACTGTTTCAGCTTTCGTGTGTTTGCTTCTGTCGCTAATTACAAGCTTTTGGATAACTCCGATATCGATTTTAGGAATAGATCTAACATACAACCAAAAGGCGTTCCGAATTTCAAACTAAAGATGTTCCGAATATGAATCAGTCACCTTTGAGGTTCCCGAAGGGGTAGACTGTTATATTATATATTGCTATTGATTGATTGAGATGTTTATGTCTGACCAATGACTATATTGGTAAAATTTCTTTTTAAACCAAATTAAATTTTGGAATAAAAAGTTCAGGTAGAAAAGCTCAATAACGTCTCTTTTTCTTTATCATCTATTCACGCAATGACAAAAGAAAACGTCACCTAGCAAAAGGGCAAACTTGATTTGACATGCCGGGTTTGTGTTTGCCGCCGGCACACTACATTAAAGCATACGCGCAATTTGGCGGACACAAACAACATTTTGTATCGCTTTGCATTTCTCTGCAGTCCGGCGAAACTTCTAATCGAACGGCAGGTGCCGAACATGCGGGATTTAAGGGACATTCGTAATCAGTAGGAAGGTGCCGCCTTCCCGGCGGTAAACGGCACGCCTGAATCAAGTTCGTCCAAAGTAAAAAGTTTACGACATTTATGGAAATTGTTTTATTTTTTTAATTTACATACCATTTTCAGCCGTCACATTATAATTTCAAATGGTGATATGTTATAAATAAATGCGCCATCATTCAAACAAATATTTCATCAACATTCATATCCCGCCTGACAACGTTTACAACTTTAGGACACTTTACAACATAACACGTTACGGCAGAACTTGAAATGGAAAACCGGAAGAGTGCAGGGTCATGTAAGGTAAGTAGAACATTGCCATATTCAGAATTTATAATAAAAGCGCTCGACACCGTTTAATGTTATCGTTTCTGCGGTGTGGTGGCAGTGGTGACCTCGAGGTACCGGCAAAACATGGTATTGACATTGTATTCATTTTGAGCAAGATAAAAAGTGTATTAAGCAAAACTGCATATTTATGCATGTTTTTTAATCGGTGATTAATTCTTATGTTTTCCGGACGAAGTTCCGGTAATTTTTGTGTCAGTTTACAGACGATGGCCAAACGTCTAAAATATCTTTGTGTTGTGTCCAGCAGGTCACATAGTAACGAGATAAAGCTTGATAAAATGGCTGCGCGGAAATATATAACGGGCGGAAACCAATGACTAGACGATATTGACAGTTTTACAAACAAATAATTTTTACTGAGAAGTATCAACTGATAATATGGAGTTAAATAACCACGAAAACAATACCAGTACAAACTAGTGATAGGGATTGGAAATTCCTTAATTATCAGCCTTTAGTTTTGGTGAAAATGATTTGCTCCAATATGCATGTTCAGTTCTCTTATATCATTTTTTTTTCATTTTAACAGATGAACTATCTTATCCTGGCACTTTGGCATGTTTGAATGTGGAAGGCCTTGAAATTGGGATGAAGAAGGCCAGGGAATGTCACAGAAATTAAAAAAAAATGAAATTATTTGCAGTGTTTGTGTTTTATGGTCATAAAACATGGAACATTTTCTTCAAGTAAATCAACCACATGCTTTCTTATTATATCCTAGTAGGTTGGCATGGTTACCTAAACAGCGTGTATGCATACCTGGTCATTGTTAGACCATTTTGATTGACAGGTGGAAATATGTCAGTTGTAGCTTGGTCAATGATTTATTATACTGAAATAATCATACAGGAGATGGGGTGACTTTCATGTCATTTTGACATATTTCTAGTATTCTTCGGCACGATTACGCGTGAAAATGAGAATTACGGCATTGCATTGTCGTATGTGGATAGACATCGCCTAAATGGTTTCAAACCTATTGAAGGGTATATATATTGAGCTGTTGAATTGTTTTATTTTTCTTTCTTAATTTTCCCTTTCCTTTATTTATCTATTTATCAATTTATTTATCTATAGGGTGATTGGGAGGAGGGTGTAAAATTATAATGAGTTTCATATCATTAAATAAAGACAATAGGAATATTTTTCTAAATTGTAAATTTTCACCTCAGCGACCCGTTATCCTCAGATAATCTTCGGTGATTCTAAATGTTTGGATCATGTGACAATGAAAAAATATTAAAAGCAGTGTACTTATCTAATTATTTTCTCTGTTTCAATACGGTTCAATTAGTTTTGCCGCTCTGTTCTACGAGATTCCTGGCGCCAAAGCCAACCACTAAAAGCATTCAAGCGCTAATTGTCAACGAACGTATTACAATTGATTCATGTTAAATGTCCCTACTTCCATTATCAACTGCATGTATCCCTACGGATCATTTTGATTTTTTCTGTACCATTACCTTGCTCGACATGTGCAAAAACCTACATTTCAATTTTCGATAACAGGAAAATTACATAGGCGATTAACAAATTCCACGATTAATTGGTACTTTTGCATTTTATTGATCTTTTTAAAAGTGGTTTTGTTTTGTTTTTGGAGTATTATTTCTTACGATAAAGCGGTTCTATGATTAATGCTCATGTGGGAACTGTCATCAGATAACGCAAATGTTTCATTTAAATTGGTGTGTTTTCGACACGATTCTGCGGATGTATGCGTTTCTTAACCTTTTCTCAAACCACGGGTAAAATAATCCTGCATTTATCAGCATCTGAACAAGACACACCGGAAGAATGTTATAGAGAAATTGGCTACAAATTGGGCGTCGTATAAAAAGTAGAGTCACACGCCCGTACACATGAACTCTCCTGCATAATTTATAAGAGGGATTCGTTAAACTCTGTTTATCTGTTTCGTTGGAGATAAGAAAATGTATTGATATTTCAGGACAATCATGTTAGCGGATTTATCGAGCACTTGCTAAAATCGACTAGATATGTTCTAGTGTTAAATTGCGTGGAAATACATTACGAAACAATCTTCTGGTAACCATGCTATCAAAACACTGTTATATGCCAAGAACGGTTTCTAGAAAATCAAAAATAAGAAAGATAGTGTAATTTCCTGTATGTCAATGCATGCATACATTTGGTTTAATTGTCGGTTGATTTTGAAATATATATATTTTTACAAGAGGACCATGTGAAAGATTAGCCTTTGGCTAAACATGTATTTTACCCTCAATAAATAAAGTTTATTATTATCTATTATCATTATTATTGTTCTCATAAAGGGATGACTGTTTAAACATTTTTATAATATTTTTTGTTGTTTTTTCCAGTTTCTAACTTTTGTTTCTGTATGGTACAGCAATTGTCTAATCACCGAACGGAAAAACAAATTTACCGTTTTAACTAATATCATTATCTCAGGCAGAATGATTATGCATCGTTTCGGGGTCCATGGACAAGGTAATAAATAAAGCTAACTCTTCTTTCAATTCATAAGCAAGGGGTTTGACGTACCAGCCTCTCAATTTCAACGGTAGTTTAGATATTTTGGATTTACAAAGTTTCGGTCCCTAGCATCACAAATGAGTCCTAGAAGGACGAGCCAGCTGTACGGTGCAGTGTAGTTCATTTTTGGTATACTGTATTTATCATCAAATTTTAAAGTACAATCACAGGTGTGTTTGTGTTACATTTAGCATGCTGAAGACGACAAACAAACAGTATATGATACATGTATGTAATTGACGTAGAGTATGTCTAAACATGTTAAATATTCAATATACAATTTCGATAGAACTAGAAGGTATCTGCAATTGTCAATGTTTGTGTTTCATACATGTCTACAATAATACTATATCTTATCATGGTCATCACTCTCTGACATCGCAACATGTCAATCCTTCTTTGTAAAATGAAACAGAAAAAAAATATCAAATAGTGTTATAAACACACAAAGAAAAAAGTTCCCTAGCGTCAACACAACAAGAAAATAATATGCCACCGTGCCAAAACACTGACAAACAACACAACAGCGTCAACACATATAGGAGAAAGTTTTACAAACAAAAAACAAAAACTGCCACGAAGTTGTTCACAAAGACAAAATAGACAACAGTATCAAGACTAAAAAAAGGACCAGAATTGCAAAAGCGTCACCAAAAAAGGAAAGACATATAGCACAACGACAACAGCACATAGACAAAATATGCCAAAACGTTAACAAACAAGGACAAAATATACCACAGCATCAACATATATGGATATACACTAAGGAGAAGAACCGTTTATAAGTACTTTTGTACTTGTATCCGAATCATCTCAATCAAATAAAAAAAGCACACGATAT